TTTTTAACAAGAAGTGGTATAATGTTCATGGTCTGGTGTTAAGGCTGGTATCAAGAGAGACCTGGGTATATGTGAGAGGCCACATTGCTGAAATTCAGCCAGGAGTCTTGCTGTCAATACAAGTAGGACTAGGTAGATAACAAAGAAATGCACAGCTTGGGAAATGCGACAAGGATTCAGTGTATTTCCTGCAGAAAAAGGTAGATAAGCAGCTGTCAGGGGAGAGTCTTTATAGAATGAGTTGGCGTTTTCATTTTTTTTCCAATTCTATATGGTTGCTTATATCATGAAGTATGGTGGGTGAGAACATGTACCCAGCCTTTCATGAGGAAACAAGGTTGTGGATGGGTGCAAATAGCTTTGAGATTCCCCGAGGAGGTCTCTAAGCACTACCATTAATATGAATATTATGGAATTGCAGAATGGGAAATTTTTCATTTCCCTTACGAGACATATGGAGAGCTTCTTTCCCTTTGACAGCTTTCAGAACACGTGGATGCTCTAAACAGCGAGAAGGAATTATTTTCTAATGAGTAAGAGCCTAATCTAATTTCAACTGAAGTCAATCAGAATGACTTCCTCTAGTCTGTATGGCTGCTGAATCAGGCTCTAAATATCCTAGCCTTTCACTTCCTCTTATAATTATCACTTTTATAGTATAATTACGCTAGCTTCTGTAAGGTGCTCAACATAAAACCACAGGAAAATAGTTTGTCAATCAATTCAAAACTGAAGTTTATAACAAACTACCTGTGGAAAGAACACCAAGATTAAGATAGTATGTGCATCGCAAACAATGATAAAAAATATTGTGAGGCTATTATCTGCTAAGAAAATGCTACTATTTTAATATAGCATCATCTTCCATTAAAATTCTTGACTAAAATATACCTGGTTGGCCTGATCTTTCATCTATACAAACTGCATTGGTGAGGTGTCAAAGCAAGACAGAGATCTGGCCACAGACAGGTTTTTGTTTTTCTCCTGGTATTTTCATGGGGATCTTGCAAGAAGGCAAATCTAACTTGAAAACTGTGGTCTCAGCCTCCCTGTTCCCCAAGCACTCAATCTGCTACATGATTCAAGTCACCACAGTCTTCCCAGTCTATTGGGAAAGAAGCCAGCAGTGAGAGCTGATGCGTGTACTAGCCATCAGGTTGCTCACGAAATGATCACAAGCTGCAATTTGGATAATGCTGTTCTTTAACTTAATCACCCAACTGCCAGAACTGATGGTAGCAAATAATTTTTAGGCTTTATATACAGCAGAATTAACTATTCTGCTCTGACTTAAGACATTGCTTCTTGTAGCAAGAACCATGTTATGTTAAACACAACCTTTCCCAAACAATGGAGATTAGATTTTCATGTTGCAGGTGAAACCAAGGTGCAAGGGGAACTTAGAAGCACTATGGAGGTATGCCCTATTAGTCTGTAACAGCCCTAAATGAACACACTTGCTAAAGAAAGAGCACTGGGGAGAATGATGGGGGGACTGGAAAGACAGTAGGAAAGTAGCTATAGTTTGATTCATAGATAAAGAATGGTGAAGCAGCTAGAAGTATAGGTCTTATGCTTTGACTGGGAAATGCCTAAGAATTTTGCTTTGATTATAAGTGAAAAAACATAATTGGTGGTTAAAAGGAATGAGTGGGCTATGAGCTTTGCATCTAGTACTATAGTTCAGACAAAATTCTGTCCCTAAGTGAGGCTGAGGAATCCGTTGTCTGGGGATACGGAAGCACCAGAAGCTGTACTTGGTACAAGCTGTAGATATAGTGAGGGAAAATGCAGGAGGGAGAGGAGGAGAGACCACGTCTCCATTCCTTTGTTTTGTACTTTCTGCTCTGATAAAAAAATTGGGGGCTGAGGTGTATGTGGAATTTACTAGATAAAGCATGTAGAACAATTACAGGCTGTACAAGAACATGCAGTAATGTATCCGTTCTTAAATTGTAGGACAGCACTGAACAGTCTGCATACTGTGATTAGTTAAATTCATTGCTTCTGACTTAAAATCTTTTTGGCTGCCTCAGTTGTTTCTTTCATCTCTGCATACAAGAGGAAGACTGGGAGACTAGAAGCCCCATCAGTACTAACAAAGCTTCCTTCTACTCTGATTTGCAATTATGTTTGCCTGTATTCTTGATGTTCAGAGACTTGCGTAAAGCAGATTGCTTCACAACATAAATACTTTAAAAAGGATGCTTGGGATAAATTTGACCTATTTTTTCCTCTTTAACTGTTTATGAAATGCATTTAATTCTCTGTATTTTCTTCCATGCTCAAACAGGTGATTTGGTATTATTTTAGGGGGCTAACACTGAGCACCCAGACAATAATGCTGTGCACGTGTACCCCAAACTTAACAGAGAAGAAATTCTATCATTAAGTCTACAGGTTTTCGTTTCATGTTTTCTGTGAGGAGAAAAATCTGTTCAGTAACGTGTCTGGCCAGCAAGTGTGTAATTCCCCTTTTAGCTTGTAGAAGGTACTAAACTTCATCCAGCACTGGGACTTAGCAATGAATTACCTTTCCACAGCAACTGTGTTCCAGGAGTAGCCCCTCCTGGAATTACATGGAAATGGTCTTGGATCAACTCTGGGATCTGTGAACTCTGAAAAACCACTGTCATTTTCATTTAATCAAGAAAAAATTTCAGGCAATCCTTCTCTGCAAGTCCTCTTTTAAGGGGCCTTCCCTGTAAGAAAAGCCATTTGTCCCACAATTTTCATCCTGTGCCATGCAGACTTCTCTCAAAAATAGAGATCTGATTAACTCCTTTAGGCATAAAATGTCAATAAACAAAGTGATGCATGCTTGTTGGGATAAAATACAGGACTGGGGCTTTCGGTAAATAGAAATGTTGCTATGAACCATTCAATATGAGCTTGATTTCATAATTTCAGCATAATTTTGATTTAGGACTTAAAGACCTTCCTCATTACTGCATGTTATAATTACATGGGTAGAAGTGAAAAAATGCTCACATATATGGTAAAATATAGTTACTGATGTATTTCAAGTTCCTATATGAGTCCCAATTATCAGAAGGGTAACAGCTGCTTTTGTCTCAATTGAAAAGAAAAAAACTATCAATACATAACAACACTTTTTATTAGAACTATTGGACTCCACACCTTGTCTTTGTTATGCTTTAAAGCTCTCTTTAAATTAGTGAAAAAATAATAGTAATAAATGAAAATATATTAAATTTTATAGTAGTAAGCTTGTTGAAAGTACTTGTCCTAAATAAGAATTTAGGATAGGGTACGTAACTACATAATCATTACACATTAAGATAACATACAAAGCCAATGTCAGATAGGATGGATGTAATAAATAAGCACTGTAAATAGCCTCTTTCACTCAAATCTGAGATGTTAATCTTGATTTTTGTGACATTTCTTACGCTTTATTCATTTATCTTATTCAAATACACAGGGAAAGTAGTGACTGTCCTCCCACAGGAGCACAGCAACACATGGCATAGAGAACACATCACTGCCTGCTGTAGATTTTATCAGTGCCAGCTTGGCTCCACAGAAGGGCAACACAAGGTATGTAATACAGCTTTTCTGTACTGGATAAATCCTGCACTGTAAAAGCCAGCAGTAGTTCACAACACATGATACCACAAAACCATTTTTGCTTGTCCTGATTATATTTCATGAAAAAAATGTGGACAGAACAACAATGACATGAATAGTTAAGTAGATTTTACTTATATGAAATAAACCAGTGCCACCTGTTAATGAGCTTTATATCACATATGACCCTGAAATAAAATATAGTAAAAAAATGATGTTATAGAAAGCTCAAAAGCTTCTACTTGAAGTCTCCATGTGGAAGCAGCTGTTCAGTTCATTGGTCACCTTAAAGAAAATCCTAAATGAAAGAATTATACATTAACATCCTCAAGCAGTAGTTTTCTGTAAATGGAAATGCCAGCATGGAAAATCTGATTAACTTTCCTGAGATCAAAGGCAAGGTAATTTAAAACAATATAAAATGTAAATTTCCAAACTAGGATACTAATAATTCCATTTTTTCAACAGACAGTATTCAGAACAGCAAAACTTTTAGTAAATGCAACACACAGAAAATTTCTTGCCACATGAAATAAGGCACTAAATCTCAAGATAACAAAGTGCTTTTACAATTTCACCTCCATTCCCATCTGCAGACATCCATAGGCTTCTGAATTCCTCATGTACATAGAAAGATGTTTCTAATGTCTCTGCTTCTGTATCATATTTATCATGCATTGTCTTTTATCAAAATATTTAAAGTAAGGGATAATGAAGCTGCATTTTCCAAACACTGCAGCCACTGGTTTGATTTTGCAAATAACATATCCATGAATGTAATCAGCACATGGCATATAGACAATTGCATTTCAAAACTCAATTGCTTGGCAGTGCAAAATTTCTTGTGCCCCCAAATCCTAAAAAAACGTACCCAATTTCCACCTCCCCATAACCTCTGACTATCAAAAATATCAACATGTAACCTTGGAGCAACTGATTGGCTGCATAACAGATCTGAAAATCAGCAACACAGCTCAGTCAGCATTTCAGCATTTCACATATATAGCTCTGCACAGCTTTGAGACTGGCAGAACATTCCCTTCTGAGACATTCTGCTTGAGGAAAAATGAACTATTCAGACCTCTGAGTATGTTGTAGCACCTGCTCTTTGAAAACGTAGCTCATTGTGTTTAAAAAAACACAACCCACAAACCCAGGATCACGAATCTTTTCTATTCTTATATCCAGTTGTATCACAATATTGAAACAGTTTTTTTAAATCCTTCTGTCACAGAGGCATAATGCAAGTGTGACATTCAATTGTCCCATATAATCAGAAGAGTTGTGTGGTACAAAAAACATCAAGAAAAGAGGAAAACGACCCCTCAGTATACAATTTACAGAACACCAGACCATTACCCTCCCTCCTACAACAGCATCTACATAATATGGCATATTGAAACACTCACGGCTATCGTAGCATATATTGCCCAGGGCACGTCCTGTTTGAAGCAATATTTCCTGGTCTTTGCAGTTTAACAGCTGCACCAAAGGAGGGATCAACCCAGCATCCACACATGGGTTCCGCATAAATTCTGCAAATAATGCAAAGCCTGTTAAAGCAAACTGGCTGTTTTCACTTTCATCCATTCCAGTTACCTTGGTGTTGCAACTGGGCCTTTTGTGAGAATAAACATATGCATAGACAAACAATGTAAGTTCTCCTGCAAGTTTCTAGAAATAAGCCCAAGACAGGATTTGGGCTTACATTCTTTCCATTATTCGTTAATTTAGAAGGAATTAAGTGTATTTAATTGACTTCCATGGAAACTAATTTAACATAGCTCAGGCTGAGCATGTTTTTAGCATCATAAAGAGCTGCTGAAAAGAACAGTGAATTCACAACCTTCTTCTCCACCCCAACAAATTCAACATAAATTGAAATTACTAAATAACACAAAAGATGACTTAAAGCTAGTATTCATACTCCAAAATGAACAGCACTTTTTACTCTCTATTCCGTTAATTAGAACTCCTGAAAAGCTTTTGCTTTAAAAAAAAATATAAGAAAGGAATTAAAGCTAAGTAACAGGCTCATTACTTAGAAGGTAGGGAAAGGAAAAGAACAGGAAAGAATGAGAAATAAAAGAGAGATTATGTGAGGCTAAAGGCCTGCGCCTTCCCACAGTCTAACTGGTGCCCACCATGGGAGGAAAGCTAGAGGACCCATGCACTGGAAAGCTCTCTGCCTTCCTGTCCCTTCCTGCTATGTTCCCCGCTCAAAGAGAACCAAAGTATTATTTCACATCTGTGCAAGTCATAGATAAAGAATTATCCTGGTGTCAGGGAGATAAAGGACTGGTCTCCAGAAGGAACCATAGTTATGCAGGCACTGTGCTGCACATTTTACAAGGGATGTTTACAGAAGCAGCCACCTGATATGCCAATGGTGTTACTTAATAGTTTACTACAGAGCACCCTTCAGAGATGTAGTATTGTAACAGGCAAAATGACAATATGTTTTTGATTTGTTGTGAATGGCAAATTATCTCTCTTCCAAAATGATCCTCCAAAATCAATTTACTTTTGTGTTAGTCACTTGTGAGACAGAATGAACCATGGTATACAATCCCTATAAAAAGAATGAGAAAGTTTTTCTGATTCTGGATCAACAGAACCCTTCTCACCAATAACTCAAAGATTTTATACAATGCTTAAAGTACAAATGCATCTTCTTAAATACTCCCTCTGTTGCACCTATTACAATGTTCTTCGGTGTTTCTGTTGCTACAAAATCTTGTATCTTTTGTAGTTAACCTTGCAGTGTTATTTTAGCTAAAGATGTAATTGTCATAGAACTAAGCAAACCTCAAATAATGATTAACTTTGACATATCAACAAGTAGATGAAGTAGAATCAGCAGTATCTATACAATTGCACAGGTTCAACAGAAGATAGTAGTCAGTGCAATGAACCCACCTTCCTAAGATACTGTAACTTTTTAGGACTCTAGATAGATGCTATACTGTGATAAATGGTGACGGTATCCATTGTAATGAACAGAAAAAATATCAGATACATCTCTTCTTTAAAACTGGTCTTGCCACATCCCTGTAACTTTTTATCTATTTCTTTATCTCCCACTTTCATCTTCATCTCAATGTTTGTTCACTAAACATGTTATGTTCCTCCCTCTGTCTTCTCTGTCCCTTCAGCTTCTTCCTTTCTTAATTGCATATAAAAACTCTTGTCTGTTCCTCAGCTTCTCCCTGCATCACTTTCTTTTACAACCACTAATTTACCATAGCCTCTACATCATCAAAGCCAGATTTATTTCTTTTTTTTTTCTCCTAGTCCGTGACAGGAAACAGAACTTGTTCTCTCCTGAAAGACTGAGCAGTCTCAGTCTGCTTTGTTTTATGTTTGGGTTCTTGCTCATGTGGTGAAAAGAAGAAAGAAACCCTTCTTCCACCTTCCCCCTATTTAGAGCGAGCAGGAGCTTTCAGTCTTCCATTCAGCAACAAAATAATTAGGCAATATGCTGAGCAAAGTTGTATTTGGTCATATAAGGGTAAGAAGTAAAAAGAATGGTGCTATACATAGCAAAACAGATCTGTGAGATAGCAACAGAAACGTGGTAACAACAAATGTCATAAAGTAATCAAGAAGAGAGTCATTTAGAAGATTTCCACTAAACTGGTTGGGAAATGAAGCAGATCCTTTGAAGGAAACAGTGAAGAATCACTTAAGAAGTTAGGAGGAGAACCACTGAGGACAGAGTAACATAAACCAAAGGAGGACAAGATTTCAAAAGAGAAATGTAATTGTGTTGAAGTAATACAGATCGTGAAGTTGTTGTTCTCATTCCTACACCCGCCAAAGAAGAGGAGACTAAAGTTCGGACAGAGGGTTTAAAAGGTCTAAACTGGGAAGATAAACTTTCATGTAGCAAGCGCATCTGAGCCTTCAGTATACTCACAGTTGAAAAGGAAATGGCTGTAGCTGGAGAGCTAAATCAACTAAAGGGAGTTTTCTGTGTTTGGGTATTTGAAATAGGAGAGACTAACACAAGCTCATGTTGGGAGGAGGAAGAATGATGTGACCTGGAGAGGTGAAACAGAGCAAGAGCACAGAGGTGAAAAGCATGAGATGAAACATGACAAAACCAGTGAGTCAAATAGAGGGATTTGATATATATGTGTGTAGGACCAGATGAGGGGAACAGGAAAGGAAAATAAGAACTGTGGAAGAGAAAAGATGCTCTTTTATCAGTACAGCCCAGTTTCAGTCAGAGGCACTACTCCCAGCTCTGCTAGTGCTGCATGGCATGACTATAGGGAAATCAGTTCAATTGCCTGGGCTTAATGCCTACTATCTGTAGGATGTTGATAAAAAAAAATTCTCGAAGTGCCCTCAAGCTTGTTGAAAAAAGGTGCAATATAAGCATCAAACACTTGTATTGTTATGTAAGATGACAAAGAAAACAAAAGAAATCAAATGATGTGTCCCCTGCTGTCCAGCTTAAGCAACTATTTCAACAGAGTTGGGATCCAAAGACAAACACCCAGCTCATCTAAGTCTTGAAAGCACTGGGCACCTTAAATAATTTATTAATACCTTCACTTTAACCTTGGCTGCCAGAGGTCCCACTTGCACCTGCTAATAACTCTAAGATAAAGACAAAAGCTATTTTGTATGATGAACCAGGTAAAAAGCCATCTCTTCTGAAGAGTATACTCAGAACAGCAATTTAAAACTGGCAGGGAAAAAGATACATTAGAAGCTATTCAGAGATTTCATGTATTAATTCAGATTTGAAAGATACTGTCTAAAATGGTCTGTAAGAGAATCTTGCAGAAACAATGCATAGTAATCAGTTATGCTATTGTGAACATTTTATTCTTAATTTTCCCCCTTCTGAGGCAGGAGCTAAAAGGACTGTGAAGATACACAATATTCTAAATATACTTATTATTAATTTATTTAGTACAGAAAAAGCATTTGATGCAGTTGCACAAACCTCTATCATACTGAAACATTTCTAAGTTTAAACTTCTATGTTTACATTTTTTACTGGCTATTTATCTAAATAATTTTAGAACTAACCATGTATATCTTCTTTTCTTGTTAATGTTGTTTTTGAATATCCATATATAGCATTGTCTCACAATCAGTGCATTGGGTGGAGGAGGTCACGCTGGGCTATCAGTAAGAAGCTGTAGCATTGTTATTCCAAAGAAAAGGTGTAAAGGGAATGTGGAAACAGCAATAATGAAGCCCCTTCTCTGAAGAGGCATCAGCATGAGAGTTCACAGAGGGAGAGAGATGTGGCTGGCAGGCCTGCAGGTGGACACCAGAGTTAAGATGCATCCTACTTTTCTGTGCCTGGCCTCTGGGAAAGGAAAGTGCAGAATGTAATCTGTGCCTCTTTAACTTGTGAAAGTCAAGGAGTGAGAAAAGTCAGCCACAAGTCTCCTCTACCCTCGTCACAGGGTCTGCCAGTAGCATCTACCTGCAGATATGAGGCCATTTTTTTGAGCTCAGTGTATGCAAGGTATTGGGTGATCTTTAAGCTAATTCTTTCTAATGAAAAAAAAAAGATATATTTTAGAGTATCTCCTATATTATATGACTATATGTATATAATACATACCAAAATGGACCCCTGATTCTCATTTGGGATCTTGGGCTCCTAGTCTAATACATATAATGCTCTTTAGGTAGTAGTAACTGGTTTTGGTGTGTCACTTTGATTTGGTTTTGGTGTGTCACTGGTTTGTGTATCAAAGGCCTCACAAATCTCAGACCAAAGAAACAACCTACTGTCCCTTACCCACCTGTACATGTACTGCTGTTGTACCTACATGCGCTGTGTGACCAGAGGCACAAATGACACGTACCTTTTTTTCTGTATGCATTTTATAAAGCCAGTGGCGCGTTACTTCTGCTCAGTAAATTATACTATTGCTTGTCTTAAAAAACAAATAGCATGAAAGTAAGGACTAAAAAAGATTCCAGCAGCCAAATGCTGCACTGATTATATCAAAAAGTAGAAAAACAGCATTTGAGAAAATAAAAACAAAAAGAGTGAAAGGGAGGGATATGAAAGGTGTCTAATCTACAAAATGAAAACATAAATGAAGTAAAACATACTGACAAGTGAGGTGAAAAACTGAAGATGTTCCAGCAGAAAAGTTCTTGTAGAAAACCTCACCATTTCTGGCTACTTCTGCTATGATGTTAGCTACTTTTGCTGTGCAGGAAGATTGTGGCGTCAACAGACTTGCGAACACCTGAAGAACTCCACTTTTCTGGATTTTTTCACTTGTCTCCATATCTGAAAAACACATCACACAACAATGACTTATGCATCAGCTTGCTTTGGGGAAGAAAGAAAGAAAAGCAGAAAGTTAAGTCTTCTAAAAGGTAATTCTTAAAGTACTTATTTTCCCATATAAGAAGCCAACTGCTATTTCAGTGATTGTATTTATATGATATGCTCACAGAACTTAATATTTTGCCATTCCTAATGTATTGATCTTTGTAAGGTGACTCTCTGCTATATAAGTAAATACAGGTACATACTCATGCATATATAGGGAAACTACTGGAGAGACTGGTAGGAAGACTAGAGATCATGGAGTGATACGCAGCATCCTAAGATACTATGTAAGAGTAAAGGAATGGTACTCTGAAGAGATGTATTACCAGAAATGTTCAAGGAATGATGGGGGGAAGTTCTTACAGCCGAGGGCACAACTTAATGCAGTGCAGGAGTCAGAAACTGGAGAAGAGGGAGAGCTAAGCAAATTGTGGTCTAGACCCCTCAGGCTCAGCTTGAATATCTTCTGTGTTACTTTGCTAAGCTACAGTAGCTCCAGTATAGTCTTAGTAGAAGGGGATGAGAAAAATAACACTTGAGTTTTTTGTAGTAGAGATCAAAGATTCGGGACAAAACTTTTCCTCTTTCTGCCTGCAGTAGAGAGGAATTGTGCAGCTGCTCCATAACAGGGCCCCCCTAGCACTGCTGGCCAACAGCTCTGTAACAAACTGAAAATTAACATTGATTCAACAGCGATTACAGATAAGGTACTAGATGCTAAAACATATTTTGCTAATGCTTTCAAATAATGGCATATTTGAAACAAATATTAGTGTGCCATACAATATGATTAGATGGTAGCTATCACTCCAGCATGACTCCTTAAGCCATTCATAATGGAAGTTACTTGCATTCTCCAAAGATGGCTGTGGGATACTCTGATGACTTTTGCAAAGCAAAACAAACCTATCTGAATGCAAGTCTGTTGTTCAACAACTCTGTCTCACAGGGGCATTTTGAACACTACAACATGCACAAACCGCCTCACGTCATTTAAAATAAAAGCTTTACAGTAAGTGCAAGTTGAAACCAAAATAATTGCTAGAGCTTGCCAGTAACGGTGAGAAACAGACGTAGACGTTTCAGAGTTGAGAAGACAGGCCCCTGAGCACCACTTTCTGCAGTTTCTAAGAAGCACTCTTGCTCTGGTGTAAGAGCTATCAGGACAGTCAGGCTGGGCAGCAATAATAGTAACCAATGGATTTTGGTTTAATGCATATTTTGTGCACCACAACTAGTTAGTTAGTCTAAAGCAGCAGTTTGCAACCGCTCTTTAGCTGGGTGTCACCTGAGAATTGGTAGCGACATCTCACTGGGCTCATCACCTCTCTCCTCCTCCTTTTCCCCATTCTCAGGGCTGCAACTGATTTTTGACTTGTTGCAGCTCCAGGACAACCCCTGCTGCCTCTGAGCACCGGAGAGATCCACCCAAGCTGACCCTGACCAGCAGCCAGCACAAGCCTCGCAGAGGTGACTCAGGTGGGTTTTGTGACTCGCACATGCTTCAGTGGCTGGGACCCAGTGATGTGTAGGTGACAGGAAATGGACTAAAAGGAGAGAATTTCAAGTCTGGATTGTAGTTATGCCTCTCTATATCTGTATTCAATTCCAGCTTGGTATGTTGGTCTTTGGCTAGGACTACTCATCTACAATATGTCAGTGATGGCATCTGATTACAAACAGATGAGGTATAAAATGAAGATCGATTAATTTCAACTTACCATGCATAATATAAGTGCTAATTATTATTAATCTGTTTACAGCCTAGTTAACTGTAATTAAGCTTAGAGCTTATGGTTTATTCAGAAGCTTTTATAAGTTCTGACTTATAGCATATACTTAGTAGATATATTCTCCCATGGATATATACAGATGAAAGAAAAGTCTGAATTCCGAGAAAATCACCTCAGGACTAAAGACTGGTCCAGACATCTTAGCTGTCTATTAAAGAGGAGATCCTCCTTCTCCCTTATGTTCAAAACTTGAAAGTACAGAAATCAAAATTGAAAATGTAGGTATCTATGAACCTGTATTACTAGGCAGCAGACATTAATGCGTTTTCTCCTGCCACACTGCTGAGATATATAGTATCCAGTCCTGTTTTTATGATCTGTAGTTTGATCGACTCATTACTGTGCAAAGCATAAATTACATAAATAGAAAAAAATATATCCCACAAGAAGTAGGAAAATAAAATTAAATGCTTCTCCAGGCCAGTTGTGTGTAGCAGATATGCACTGATTTATTTCGTTAAGATGAGCAAGTAAGCACCAATAAAAGCAGAGGGCTTAAGAGACCTGTCAGAAAGAGGGAAATCATCTAGCTTGGACCACGTAGATGAAAACAGACTGTTGACTTTTTTTCTTAGACGTAAGCAGCACAGGAGGCACACCTGTGCATATACTCTCCCCTTCAAACCAACATTTCACTGGTTCTTGTTACCCAGGCTGAGTACCAATATCAAACTTTTGCCAGTCACAAAAGAGGGAAGACTGATTAATTTGATCAGCTGCGAGTGTAGCTCTTCTATCACCAGGCAGGGACAACCCAACTTCCTCTCTACCCTGAGTGGGTGCTCAAGCATAATTGTTTGAGGGAAAAGCATATTACTCTGGTATCAGGCAGAAGGACAGCTACTAACTATGCAGCCCACAGTGTTCCCTCAGGCATTTTTGCCAGTAATTGCCTTGGGCGTAAAAAATGCCATAAGACACTTCAGCTCTTCTGCTCTGAGTTTACCTGGGCCCTGCTCTTCGTCTGCAGAGCACTTACAATTACACTGGTGTAATATCCAAATTAATCCAGTGCCAAAATAGAGATATGACAGTATGACATTAAATCCTTGCTGGTAGTTTATAATATATACTCCATATAAGGCATCATAAAGGAATGTGCCAATAAAATTACTGTAACAGCCCTGTGTACATTACTCTAAATTTTCCTGGTTTGTACCTGCAGAAAAAATCCATTTTTCTCAGGGATTTTATGTTCATCACATTAAAGTTCTAATAAAGAAGGTGGGGAAAAAAAAGAATCTGCTAAAATATACAAATTAATTTCCTAAGATATATAATTGGCAGACATTTTATTTACAGAAAAATCAATTTTTTGGTAGGCTTTTGAAATGCTGACACAAGGAAGGGTATTTTAATTGGAACAAGATGTCTTATGTTAAAAAAATGCTAAATCTAGCATTTTTTCTCAGTTTTTTTATATTCTTTTCTAGGAGGAGGGCTTAACAGGCAAATGATGCATAGGGCTGCCCTGTGGAAACTGTGAAGTTAAAACAAAGATCTTCAACCACCCTTCACTTGTCTAAGGAGTTAACTGTACGCTCAGTGTTGAAATACGCAGATGTAGAAGAAAATACCAAGTTGGAGTCTTTGAAGATTATTTCAGCACAGCTGTAGGTATATAAGCAGTCTGGATGTTTCTTAGAAGTGCCCAAATGTGACAATTACTTCACGGCTACTTGCAAAACAGGAGCTAAGAGTCCTGGGTGTGACTGTGCACATAACGTGTGTGCAGTTCTAGATCCTCTTCTGCAGGATGCACTGAAGGTGTTACTGTGGTAATAAAGGACTGGAGCTGCAGGCAACATTGAAAATCAAATAACTGCCCTAAAACAAGCCAAGGTTTTCTTCTCCTTTGTTTTTGCCTCTTGCAACTAGAGCGGCATGGTGCCTAGGGCAGGGGCTTTAGGATGCATGGATATTTAGACTGCCTGCCCACTAAGGCCCACACACCTCTCTCTTTTTGCTCAGCTTCATATAATGCGAGTCCTGTATAAAAGCATAAAAGGCAAAGGGACGTAGATAGGGACAGAAATGAAGGAAAAAGCGTATGTGGCGTTATTCTTTTGGAGACGACAACAAAAGGTCGTGGTTATGTAGCAGTATTTTAATTGTGACTGTAAAAACCACAATTTGGTTTTCCTTCTGCAGAGCCTAAGACTGGAAGATCACACACCAGTGTTGCCGAAGGTATCCATACCACTGTCTGGGCCTAGGAGGAATAGTTTGGCGTTTGCTGAGAATTAGAAATTGCTCATTTAGCACAGGTAACCCTTAATTCTTGCCTTTATTTGTTCTCCTCAGAGGCTGGAGAAGGCCTGCCTGGCTTCCTGTCTGCATCTATATTCATGAAAGGGGTACTGTTTCTTAAGTATATTAATCTGCTGCTTGTTTCATTCTGGGCTTCCTAGTAAATTATTGGAGGCTAAATTATTTAGAAAACTTATTTCAGTTGTCATCTTTTGAATTGTTATTTCAACGTATTGTCGATTGTAGTTGCAGCAAGTAAAACCAAATGTTTCCCTAGGAGCAAGAATATCTAGGCAAAATCTCTGCAACATAATCTCCTCTTTTCTATAATGGACAAAAAGGAAATTATAGCTGACGTTAATCACACGCTAAAAAGTTGGCTTACCCTTATCCTTTTAATTCCTGTAGCAGAATTGCATCCCCTTTCAAATCTGTTCCATTTATCTCCTAAGGAAACCACGCAATCTAGGTAGCCTGATGTCAGTGCTATACCTCAAAATCCTTTTGCTATATGCAATGTCCAGATTTCAAACGCTTTCTTTTAAAGTCTGATTTTCAGTCTGTAGGCACCAACCCACCCATAGAGCACCCACTGCCCCCTATCTTAAAGCAAAGAAACTGTAGGACTGTAATAATGCTGCTTTAGAAACAGCCCTTTTGCATAGAATATAATACAGTGATGTGCCACGGCAGCATAATTGGGGGAAAAAACCTCTAAGGTTAAACCTGCAGCTTTAGATGTCTCTTTATATCACTAGATATCAAGTCAAAGAGTATGTTAGATCACATAGTGCCAAAATCTTATTAATGTCATAGCTGGGTGATTAAAATGTCAATATCCTTGCTTTTCATGGTTTTTGCAGTGCCTAGAGTCAGAATAATAAAGGGTGTGGGCAGGAAATTCTTTAATGCCATACATCAGAGCTAGAGCGCTGAGAACCCTGGCTATCAGACTGCTTAATTAAGTAGCAGAAATCACTAAAGGAAAAAAATCCAATGAGTGCCTCAAATTAAATTCTACACTCTCCCCCCTCTCAGGTCTATTTCCTGTGAAATTTCACTCCTCTCTATTTCACTCCCTTTTCCTCTCTGCATCATTTCGTCCACCTTCAGGTGAAAGACAGGCAGGGAGGGGGAAGGGAAGAGACAGGCAAGCCATCTCTGTCAGAAGTGCTACTATTTTGCCCTTACTAGCAGAAGAAAACAGGTTCATGGTTCCTGTTCTTTATGAACAATGAGTTGAAGTTACACTATTAGATGTAACCCAACAATAGTTAATTCTAGCACTGCAACTAATTCCCATGTTGTGGAGCTTTATGTGAGAAACAGGCACACCACAGAATTGTAAATAAGCAGCTTCGTTAGTGTCCTCTTTATTAAGCGAACTGTGTTTGCAATGTAGTGTTTTGAAAAATGTGTGTATTTCTAGCTGCAAAGATGTTTTATAAACCTTCTGAAACTATTGCAGAAAATTACCTTGGCTTTATGATGTCCCTCCTACATGTACTCTCATCAGAAAGATGAACACATGAATAAATAATGATGAGCCACGTATATCATGAAAGGAACCTTCCATCTGCTCTTTCAGAAGGCAGAAGGGAGCAGAATGAAGGTAGCCAGGGATATCATTCTAACTGGCACACCCTCCTAACCACCACAGTAAAAAAGCTTCAGCAGACCACGAGCAAGTATTGATGCGGCCTCCCTCAAGAAGCATTGTCCCTCTCTCCATAGCCTCCTACTGTATTTTCCAAACCACAAAATGGAGATTTTAATCTGACTACAGAAGCACAAAAAGTGGGTTGTAAAGAACCTCAATGAAACAAATGATGTGTTTTCACGCAACAAAAAATGCACCACTGATAAAGGAGGCTTTTGCTTAACATACCTTAGCCAAAAAGACTGTTCCAATTATCAAGCTGTTTTTACAGAAATAAAAATTCTCTAATAATAACTGATATATAGAAATAAATGTATAAATGTAACTTCCTTTTGGCATGTTCCTCCTCACATGGGGAAATTCCCACAAATACAATCTGCTTGCTCACCTATCCCTCAAACTAGACCCCTAGAAGGCAGGGAGGGAAGATTCTCCCTTAGCTGTATTAATGTTTCCATCATGGTGTTTGCTCTGTTCTGTCTCTGCCAGCAGCAACAGGGAAACTTTAATTCCTATTTTTAATGAAGAAATGGGGATAGTGCACAGATGTTTCTAATTAAAATCTCAGCTCTAACAAGGAAGGAAAGACAGATGGAGATACAGATTCACCAACCACCAGCTACGTGATTCCCACTGATTAAATTCTACAAAAGCTATATCCAGAATAAAAGTAAATTTCAGGATGAAACCCACCCCTTGAATAGCCTGTTGCAGGTACCAATGAAGTAATTTAATAAAAATACATGCCAGCTGTGCCTTCAATGAAGAAATATGCATGTAATATCTCCATGCATATGTCACAGCACAAGGCAGAATATTAAAGTTAGGCAGCTCGGAACCCCTGAGTTCCTAAATCTAGTTTAGAGCCCTGACGCGTAGTTCAGTGGATTTATCTGAGCTGTTAGTTTCTCTGGTCCCCCTTTCTGACTCACCCTCTGCAGGAGGTAACCACTTTGGTAGCACAGTTGCTGAAAGAGTTTGATACTAGTGCCTCAGCTGCCAAGTTTGTTGTCTGGCATCTTAGTACAAATGTCATCCACTAGCATCTTCTTGGTTTATACTCAGTCTGTGTGGACATTTTAATCTGCCTCTTCTGTTACTTGTACTAACTGGACTTAGTACAAGACCCTGGGTAAAGCTTAAATATGCCATGCTTTAGTTTTTCAATCCATATAACAGAAATACTAGGCCCATAGTGTAAAATCCTTTTTCCAAATTTGATTTAGTTTAAAAAATCAAATCAGATTTGAAAGCTGTGCATTATATATGCGGGAAATGTTTCACATTCCTTTTAAGCAATCTCTTAAGAGCGCTGTCAAGCAAGCCCAAATGCCTGCTGTAAAATTCCGCCCAGCGCTTACTGAAAGAGCACATCTACATACAAAGGAATTTGTTAACTACTGATGTTTTTAAAAAGTTTTGCTGCCAAAGTAGCTTAAGGAAAAGCTAATCTTAAAAAGATCACGTTTGAACGTCACAAGGGACTGGGACAAAACTAAGAATGAAATTTCAGATCTGAAATTGTGAATTACATGATGTCTAAATACAATTTTTTGTAAAAAGCAGGCCTTTTTCCTTTGCTTCTGTATTGCGTTTCATAAGGCAGGCCTTCTCCTTTGCTTCTGTATTGCATTTCAAAAATGCAATCTAAAAAGAAATTTGTCAATTCTATTATCTGGAACTGCTATTCACTGATGCCTTCTGCAAAGAAAAAATATATAATATTTAATCTTTATTTGGCACATTGTGTATTCAATGAATAGCAGTTGGAATTTAACACTCGGATAAACATCATTTAACTATCTGGCACTAACTAAATACATCACTATTAAGAGGAATTTGTGTAAAATATAATCTCACTAAGCAGCAGTGATTATCATTCAGTATCATTAGGGTATGCCAGTTTACTGGGAGACAGTCCAATAAAAAGCAGTCACCTTGATTTACTATGTTCCAATTAAATAGGTATACTGTAATAATATATTATATACAGCACTTACGATGAAACATTTCTGGATCATGTGTATACAGTGCTATGAAAAGGCATCAGCTTCATGAGCTAAGATGCAAAAAACATCCTTCTTCAGCAAAAAGAAGGAATGCTTTATAACACAGTATTTGAGCCAAAACTCCCTCTTACAAAATATCCATCAGGATCCCCACCTTTCAGAAAGGCATTTGACTAGAAATCTTCCCAGGCAAATTTATGGACTGTGAGGAGCTTAATTGGCTGAGCCGGCCCAATCCAATTTGAACCTCTGGTTCTACTACAAGAGATTGCGTCAGAGACAGACTAGAAATTCTTGCCTGTATGAGTACACTGGTCTAAGATACGGGGTTTTGGTTTGACAGCTTCCCACCAGCAAACCCTTACTGCTGATGCAGCTATACTGCCAAAAGCTACAAAAATAATAAAAGTTTGGTTTTGTCTTTTTGGAGGAGGATATTCTAGCTTTCAGCTGCATATTTCCTTTTCGTGGATATACACCATAAATTCTGTTGCTTGTTGGAATGTTCAGGCTGGGACACCAACATATCAGGACTAACATGCAGGCACGTGTCTGCTGTTTCTGAGTATGCATCCACAGGTGGCCTCCTTCTCCTTCCAAGATCACAGGTGGGTGACATATACAAGGGATCATTGGAAGG